CAACCAAAAAAAAAGTAAGCAAGACTAAGCATTTTTTTAATATATAAGTCATAAATCAATCAAACAACCATGCTGGTTGTTGGTGGGATTCAAACCCAGGTACCCAGAATATCACCTGGATCTCTGGATTAATAGTCTAGCAATAACACCACTAGGCCATCACTGCCCAATAAATGGTGCACTTAATCTTCTATAGTGGAGCTTAGGATTCCTATATTTTAATGACAAAATATGTGTACAAGTAAAAGTTAAAAATCTGAGAAATAATATTCTCCATATACTTACAAGTATTGTTCTGAGACACAGGTTTGTGAAAGGCAAACAGAATGCTAACATACAACTTACAATACAAGAAACAAGAACTGCAGGTTCTGGAAATATATAATACCAGTTTTCAAGCAGCAAGGCATATTATCATTACATTCTCTCTTGTATTATTCTTCAGTGACCCTGCATAAGTGTGAGGATAAGATGTGAGGAAAAACAAATGGAAAATGCTTTTATAAAACATTTGATTCACTACAGTAAAATGCTTGCATCTTCTTGCTCTTTAGATTTCACAGTATAAAGATCTGTAAATATGATTAATGCTTAAACAAACAGTTAAGGAATTGTAATCTGAGATGCATGTTCTTTGTGTTTTGCCATATTACTCCTGTTGAATCATCTGATCTGATTTTTTTTTCATTGCTTATAGTAATGTCAACCATTTCAGGAGTTGTAGTGTATGCATCATGACACTGTAGCAGGAAGGAAGTTGCATCAATATTAATGTCAAAAGGATTACTAAGCATAGCAGATACGAATACAGTCCGCACATTAACTCTTAAGTTGTTTCGTTTGAATTACTGGATAATTTGATTACATTTACAAGTTTCCTATGCCATTTTAATGCATTTGCTAAATGCAAAATACTGGATATTTGACATTTTTGAGATAAACACAACTTTGAAAGCTACGTAGGCTGTATAAGACTAAGCATATCAAGAGACTTGTGAGCACATTTAGATTTTTCCACTTTCAGTTGAATCATTAATCACAGGAACTACATAATACACAGCATTATTAATAAAATGGTACATACTTTATCTCATTATATATCTTGTTAAATACTTGGCAAGTGATTTAGTATCACTATTGCTCATGCATTCTCCTTGACAAGTTGCTGATGATTTCGCACAAAATCTAATTCAAAGAAATTCTGCATTCCTACAAATTAGTAGTCTTGATGACATTTTATGGTCTGAAATGGGAATGTTGTCACAGTTTGACTTGCCTTAAATAAAGTAGGTTAATAGTTTTTTTTTAAAACGTTTTCACATACAAATTTCAGATTAACAGGAATTTGTAAATATCTGCTTGTATTAAAATAGTCAATGATCATAATGAAGCAATACACGAATATGTTACTTGAAGAAGTTAAGGCAAATTATGAAATGTGTAATCTGTATTCTGCACAAAAAGCTTGCAGCAGCAGAACCTCTGTCCAAATGTCAATAAATCTGACAAGTTGTATTGAGTCTGCTGTAATGAGAATGTTGGATTACATTGTGTGCATCCTGTAATGTTAAAAAATGTTTTGACAAGCAGTCTTAGCAAGAAGCCAAACCAACTAGTGAAATATGTCAACACTGCCTGATGTGCTGACATAGTACATGGATTTTGCTGAACTGCAAGATAAAAAATAATCTACTGAATTGAGCCCCACAAAACAGAATAGGATGAACTGTAAAGGTATACTATCATTTGTTTTTTTTTGAAGTGTATTAAAGTAATTTAAGGCAAAATGGTAAATTCAGAGACCACGGGATCACATTGTTCTTTTTTTAGCTATTTCATTGGCACTGATGTGAATATTCAGTGTTCACCCTCCCACCTCAGGGTGCCCAAAAGCTTTTCAGTAATATCTATGAGCATTGGCACTCGTGACGCAACACATCCTCCTGGATTCATGTTTGAAATCACAGAAATGCCTTTTGTTCCCTTTACTATTGAATCTCCTTTGAGTATTGCCCTTCCAATCTTCATGTCTCCTTATACAGCTGAGCCATCTATGGTAAAATGTACTTGGCTCTGGCTGTATTCACAAGAACAGGAGTAGACCATTCAGCCCCTCAAGCCTATTCTCCATTCAGTGGGATCATAACTGATCTGTAGCCTAAATCTACATACCTTCCTTTCGCTCATATTTATCTATTTCAGATTTAAAACTAACGAATGATCCTGCCTCCACTGCCATTTGCGGAAGAGGGTTACAAACATCTACCACCCTTTGTGTATAGGATACTCCCTAATATCTCTCCTGAATTGTTTGGCACTAATTCTCTGAGTATGCCCCCTGGATCTAGAATCCCAAGCCAGTGAAATAGTTTATCTTTGCGTACCCTGTCTTTTCCTGTTAATATCTTGAAGACTTCGATCAGATCATCTCTTGAGCTTCTAAATTCTGGACAAAACAGGCCTGATTTGTGAAATCTCTCCTCATCACTTAATCCCTGAAGTCCAGGTATTATTCTTGTAAACCTGCATTGAACTCACTCCAAGGCCAATATATCCTTCATTAGGTAAGTTGCCCAGATTTGATCACATACTCCAGGTGGGGTCTAACTAGGATTTTGTATAACTGTAGCATACCTTCTGTATCCTTGCACTCCAGTCCACCAGATACAAAGGACAGCATTCCATTAGCTTTCTTGGTTATTTTCTGCACTTGTGTATGACATTTTAATGATCTATGGGCCTGAACCCCCAGTCTCTGTGAACAATGCACTGTATTTAACTTCATACCATCTAGAAGGCAATCTGATCAATCTTTTTTCGGTCCAAAAAGGATAACCTCACATTTGCTCACATTGAACTGCATCTTCCACAGTTTTGCCCATTCACTTAATCTATCACTATTCCTTTGTAATTTTAAGTGATTATCTATACTCCCCACAGAAACCATCACTTTCTCCAGTATTTATAATCAAGTACTGCTTGGAGAATGAGGTGAACCCAGGTACCTCTACGCTATCTATCCATTTCTTCTTGACATCCTGGTGATTAACCTTTCTCCTTCTTCCTGCGTACTCTTTCTCTTTTCAGCACTATTCACTTAATTTGGCCAAATGACAAAATAATTTGCTGTATTTTAAATGTTACTTCTGTTCGGGGTAAATTAAATTTTCACAATTTTTTACACTTTTTAAAGACATTAAAAGCTACAAAATAGGCCATTACAAAAGATCAAATCACCACCATTGCAAGTTTGTATTGACTCTCCTGGTTTCTGGACCTTCATGGTGTATCTAAAACTAAGCCTTTTATTGAAGGACAAAGACATTAGGCACATTTTAAAGGCTTTTTCTTTAATTTACCAGGAAACTGCCTAGTCTACACTAACATAAATAGAAAATGGTTCTGCATCAATTTCAAAAACTATTTGCAGTTATTTCAAATTGGGTTATTCTTAGGTTATGAACTATCCTGATTATTTTATGTTTACATGATTTTTTTTGAGCTACGGACATCAATCTGCACCAGGTTACCACTTTTTAAGTATATCAAAAATGTGTTTTAAAAGAAACATTTTTTAAAAAACTAAAAATATTGGCTAAATCTGCTGATTCATGGCAGGTTTACATGCAAAGAAATCTGATTCGTATTTTGAGATAGAAAAAAAAATCACTTCTCAACTCTGGCAATATTTTGAAGCATATATGTGGTATGCAGATTACAATGAGGTTCCTCCTTAATAACCTCCTTTGTGAAACATTAGCTTCTCCTCTTTTCACTGGGATCAGTCACATTGCTAATTTCCTATCCCTACTTTCATGGAAATTTATCGTGTTGTGGATGGCAATCAAATTTGCATATATTATTCCCAAATGAAATATGGTAAGTTCATTGTAAAGCCTATGGATAACTTTTAATATTTATATTAATGTATTCTGAGTATAGTATATGGTTCAGCATTCTATTATTTTTCAAAATTACTTCACCACATTGTGGGAGCATTTAAACAGATTACTGGTAATCTCAAATTCATTTCAAACTGTCTGTGTGTTAATGCAAATCCATTGTATGCTTATGTCCCTGATTAGTTCAAATAACATCCAATACTTAACAATTATCAGTTTCACATTTTATTTGCATTTTTTTGCTGGATTGCATACCCACCGTATGCTGACACAAATGATTTGCTTCATTCTTTATGCTGTTCTCCCCATTTTCTGCAATCAGCATATTGTAAAGGTTTAAAGTTGATATTGATATCCAGATCATTTTGTACAGGTGTAAAAATGACAGATTAAAAAAATACAATAAAGGCACAAAAATAATAGAAACAAAGAAATTGGAAAATTAAAATATTAAAGCACACAGAAACACAACAGCAAAATAAAAGAAATACAATTTGGAAGAACAACAAAAGACACAGTTAAAAGTAAGAAACAAATTCACAGATGACAGACAGAAAGCATAATGGGAAATGGGGCTCAACAGTATTAACTAGCCAAGTCTTGCTGTCAAGTGAACAATGGGAAGGAGATGGCCTAGAGGCATTATCACTGAAATTATTAATCCAGAAGCACAGCTCCTGTTCTGGGAACCTGGGTTCATGTCCTGCCAAAGAAGATTGTGGAATTACATTAGGAATTATGATTCTACTCATGGCCACGAAACCATTGCTGATTGTTGGAAAAACCCATCTGGTTCACTAATGACCTTCAGTGAAGGAAGTCTGCTGTCCACATTTGGTCTGGCCTACATGTGAATCCAGGTCCACAGTAATGTTACTAGCTCTTACCTGCCCTCTGAAATGGCCTAGCAAGCCATTCAGTTCAAAGGTAACTAGGGACAGGCAATAAATAGTGGCCAGCCAGCGACTCCCACATTCCACGGGTGAATAAACAGAAGCTATTATTTTTTATTGCAATGTCTATCAGTTTGATCAATATTCCACAAAGCATCAAATTTTTATGATACATAGCATTTCGGTCACTGTTAAATGGACGTACCTTGTTCATAACATCTGTTGCCAGTTGCCGAAGAGAAGGTGACACCACAGTGTTCAGGATTCCATTTCCCATAACAGGTTTGTATAGGTTAATATAGGCCACAGCATTACTCTGTAGAACATGTTTCATTTCCTGAAAAATAGTAAATTGTTCACTGTATTACAACCAATAAATAAGGAAACTAACCAGTTTATTTTTCTTATTACATATCAGGTAAGAAAAAGGTCTCATTTATACTCCATAAGACCATAAGGTATAGGAGCAGAATTAGGCCATTCAGTCCATCAAGTCTGCTCTGCCATTTGATCATGACTGATATATTTCTCAACTCCATTTTCCTGCCTTCTCTCGCAAACCTTGATCCCCAATTAAGAACCTATATATCTCTGTCTTACTGATACAGGGCCAAAGTAATCCACATTTGTGCGTGTGACCATTAATACTATCCCAAACTATTGTTTCTAGAAGATTCCTCTCGACGGAAGTTAAATTGACTGATCTATAATTAATGTCTCCCATTGTAACAACTTTATAATGTTTGCAACTCTGTAATTCCCTAACAGTATGTTCTTCTACATCTTTCCCATTAGTTGGCAGACTACGGACTACGCAGAGCTATGTAATTGCACCCTTTTTGTTTCTTAGCTCTAACCAAATTAATTCTGTCCTTGAACATTCTGGACATTCTCTTTCTTCAGTGTCACAATTTTTTCCTTAGCCAATACTACCATTGCTCCTCCATTTTGTGCTTTCCTGTCTTTACTGAACACTTTGTATTTAGGAAATATTAACATTCCGAACTGTCTTTGCTTGAGCTAGGTCTCTGTTAGAGCCACAACATCACAATTCCACATGGTAATGTGCACTAGAAACTCAACAGTCTAATTCACTATATTCAGTGCATTCACATAGATGTACTGAAATCCTGATTTAGAATGTTTTAATTTCTTCCTTATTCCATCTCTTCCTATTAATTTACTTTCTCTATTCTCGTGCCATCTATCTCTCCCAGTATTTTGTGCACCCCAGTGTTCTCTCCTGGTTCCCACAGCCCAGCTGATTTGGTGTAAACCCTTCATAATAGTACTCTCAAAATCCCCAGCAAGGAGGTCAGTCCTGGTTCTGTTCAGGTGGAACTGATCAGTTTTGTGTAGGTGTCATCTCCGCACCTATGGTTCAGAAATCTAAAGCCCCCTCTCTTGCATCACCTTTCCAGCATTTCCATGCATTTACCCAAGTTATCCGTGTATTTCTGTACTCACTTGCACATGGTACTGGAGGTAACTGGGAGAAGGTCTTGTTCCTGGAATCATTATAGAATAGCCAAGGGAATAAAAATGCTATTTCCATTTATCATTGGCTACATAACAACAACACAGACTTAAAGGTAATTGGCAAGAGAAACAGAAGCAGAAATAAAAATGTTTACACCAAATGGTTAGGATCTGGAATGTACCGTCTGAGAATGTGCCAGATGCAGGTTCAATTGAGGCATTTGAAAAGAGAATTAGACTATTTTTGAAAAGGAAGAATGTACAGAGAGTGACAGGGAGAAGGCAGAGAATTGACATTAAGTAATTTGCTTATTTGGAGAGTTGACAGAGATATCATGGATCGAATCACCACTTTCTGCTCTATAACAATTCTGAGATTAACATTCCAGCTGAGATTATTATGTGAATAAATAATACTCCTTGTTTAAATACATGAAAATCTGTTGCTGTTGATTTTTAAACCAACGATACACTAATGGGATTTAGGAACATGCACATCAACCTTTTCAAAGGAAACCGACACTGATTATGGATAGTAGGGAAGAGAATTGCAGATTTCAGTTTATCAACATTATCAAATCACAAGATTTGAACATTGACACTAAATAAGGAACAGTCAGCAAAGTTTATCAATGCTTTCTGCAAATCACAGGAACATTGGAAATGCAAGTGGGATGTAGGCTATTCAGCCCATCGAACATATTCCATCATTCAAATAGATCGTAGCTGATCATTGACATCAAGCCATGTTTTCTCACTATAGCCCCATAGTCCTTGATGTCATTATTACTAAGAAATGTATCGATTTTTGTCCAGATCATTCTCAATGATCCAGTTTCCACAGCCCTCTGGGATAGGGAATTCCAAAGATTCACCAACATCTGAGTGAAGAAATTCCTTTTCATTGTAATCTTAACTAGTCTGCCTCTTATTCTAAGGCTACGGCCAATGGTTCTAGACTCATCAGTCGGAGAAATATCCTAATCGCGTGTATCCCCTGTGAGAGTTGTGCAAGTTTCAATGATATCAACTTTCATTCCTCAAAACCACCAGTTTATCATCCCAGGGATTAGACTGGTGAAAGAAAACCAAAAGTTTCTGGAGAAACTCAGCATGTCTGACTGGTTCCTAGGAGGGAGGAACAGTACTAGCGTTCGGAGTCCAATGATTATTTTTCAGAGCTATTCTGTTGAACATTGATTGTATTCCCTTTATGGCACATATGACCTTCTGTGGGTAAGCAGACCAAATTTGTACACAATAATCCCATGGGGTCTCCACAAGATTGCATACAATCCAGACTGTCATGTGTCTTAATTGAAGTGGAAGTCACAGGTTGGAGTGCTCCCACGTATCTGCTGCCCTTGTCTTAGTCTGGTATTGTTAACAGGAAGGCTCTTTAATGCGAGAGAATCAAAATAGCTTATTAAGTATTTTCAGAACTGTTCCAATGTAAATGCTGTGCAATTACTTGGCACAAAATGTATTCACTTAAATATCCTCCCTTCTCTAAACTGTGCATTGCAATGTGGAAGAAGGGTGAGTGCAAGATTAGAGACTACTTCTTCATTCACAGTGTTGTTAAAATAATAAACTATTGTAAAATTTATATAGTATTCTATTTTCAAGCAGAAATGCTATTGAAGCCCTTAAGGAATTAAATATACTCCAGTCTAAGAAGGCATCTCTGTCAAATTGAGTTTAGGCCTCTAAGCTATGAGATTTTGGCAGGTTAGCTATTAAAACACTAGCAAGAGCAATTCTCTCACAAAATGCTTCTCCAGTGCCTGTGACAGAATAGCACTGGAGTTAAGTCAGGCCAGATGATGAAGATCAGTAGCAATTGAAGGGCTTGTAAGATTAGTAATGGAACTGCCGACAGAAAGGCAGCACTAGTATTTTCAGTTGGATCAGCCTGAGATTGACTGTTAGGCGAGACTTAGTGAAAAATACTGGATTTTTTTTGTAGGATTCAATGAAGTCTTTGGGATTATGTTTCTATAGTTTTCTTTGAAATAGAGGTTTCCTCCAATTAGATATCAGGATAATCAAAGCCATTATCTTCTGGTCACCACAAATTTTGTTCCCTAGTCACTGACTCTATCCTATCTGAGGCTGAACCAGACTTTGCAAAACCTCTATGTCATACTTGATACTGAGATAAGCTATTGATCATGCCATCCAAGACCCCTTAATTTTAACCTCTAACATTGCCTGTCTCACTCCTGTCTCAACTCATCTACTTTTGAAACACTACCTCTAGTCTACTATAACATATTACCAACAAACATCCAAGGTTTTATCTTCCATTAATTTTAAGTTATCTAAAACTCTTCTTCCTAACTTGCACCGAGTCACATTCATCTGTGCTTGCTGACTTACACTGGTCAAGCAACACCAGCTTTTAAAATTTCATTCTTGTTTTCACATTCTTCTTATCTCTGGGATATCCTCCACAACTCTTCAGGGTTATCTACATTCTATTAATTCTTCCCTCAAAAGCTTATCCAATTTTAAATTCTGCACAATTGGTGACCATACCTGTGGCTGCCTATGCTGTAAGCTTTGGAATTCCTTCCTTACAATCCACTACCTTTACTGTTCTTTCTTCAATTAAAATGCTCCTTTCTCCAGTTTGTTTTCATTATCTGCTCTAATATCTCTTTATGTGGCTTCATATCATTATTTTGTTTGATAATGCTACCATCAAGCACCTTGGAATGCTTTATGCTAAAGGTATTATACAAACACAAGTTGCTATTGTCATAAAATCATTTATGATACAGAAGGACTCCATTCAACCCATCGAGTTATCCATATAATAATTCAAAAGGTTCCATTCACCTGTTCTATTACAGTAGCCTTTAAGACAATAACATATAGGAACAGAATTAGGCCATTTGGCCATTTGAGTCTAGTCCACCATTTGATCATGGCTGATTAAAAAACAATCTCATGGACATTTCAAAACTTACTTTTCTTGGGATCCGCTGTCAATCTGATTTTCTCAGTCCACCTGCATATTGAAGTCTTCCATGATCATTGAAATAGTGCCTTTCTCACATGCCTCTTCAATCTCCTGATTTATTTTCTGTCCCACATCCTGAAGACTGTTGGGAGACCTGTATATAACCCCCATCAGGGCCATTTTTTCTTTTCCAGTTCCTCAACTCTATGCACACAGAATCTATGCCTTCTGACCTTACATCATTTCATGTTATTCATTTAATTTAATTTCTGACTAACAAGGCAATCCTACTCCCTCTGCCCATCTGCCTTTTGATAGGACACCTATCCTTGGATATTTAGTTCTCAGCCCTGGTCCGCTTGCAGCCATGTCTCGGTGATACCCACAACATGGCACCTGCCAATTTCGATCTGTGCTACAAGGTCATTTACCTTGTTTCGTACACTGCATGCATTTGCGCATAACACCTTCAGTCCTGCAAGATTATTTATTTCAAGTTCCCATTTAATTTCACTGATTGATCATTGATCGTCTCTGGTTCCACCATCTTCACGGGCAATGAGTTCAAATTATTACCACTTGCTACGTAAAATGTTCTTCCTTTGCACAAGGGGTCTTATTCAATTCAAGCATTGACAACCTTACCAGTACACCCTGTCTGTTACTTTTCACCCTATCCATTACCTCTTCTTCTAGCTATATTTTGTATTGTACTTACTAAGGAAGAGGAATCTGACAAAGTACAAAATTAAGCCTCAGTTCCTGGCCGCATTTCCAAGGATATGTCACAATCTTTGTCTTTAATGAGGTGCGTTCTATGTCTTATTACCTGATTACTAATTACATACTAGTATAAGATATTTTTGGTTCTCTGTAATTTTGACTGTCAT